ACATTCACTCCCCCCCCACACACCTGCCGCCATGCCCACAGGACCCCAAACAGCTCAGGGTACTGACTCAGGTCATGCTCCCCTGCTCCAGCTGTGCTTCCCCTCAGGACCCAGTCACAGTGCCCCCCCCCCAAATGGTTTCAGGAGGATGCCCCTGAATTCTGTAGGTAGGGCATGAAAAGCTGTCTGACAGCTCCCTGCTGTGTGGACTGATGGTGAGTACACTGTCCACAACACAGACAGGGCACCTAGCACTGTGGGGCGAGCCCCTGGAAGGGTATACACCACAGGGAGAGCAAAGTACACACTTCATTGGTGAGCTCTCCCAGTTTTTGGTCCATACAGGTTCAGCTTGCCCTCTGCTGGGAGCCCAAGGGAAGCCAGGTGTAAACAGGTAAGCAAGGGTCTCAGTCCACGGCCCCCATACCTCCCCTGGGCCTACCACATTGGCAGCACGCAAGAGCGGACATGGCGTCACCACCTCCTGATGGCTCCCAGCCCCATGGTGGTATATGGCCATCACAGAAGGGGCACCAGTGAGTGCTTCACTCCCTGCCTGGGCTCAGGTGAGGAGAGACCTCTCAGCTGCTGGGGGCCACTAGGATCCCTCTGGCACCTGATGTGTTCCCACACATGCTCCCCACTCCTGATGGCCCCTGAGGTCCTTCCTCCCATGAGCTGGCAGTGATGGCATAGGGTCCCATTCCTCGGTTCAAGGAACCCTCCACATTGGCCACATCAAGTGGAGGTGGGAGGCGCTGGTGCATGGCAATGTTGTTGTGGAGCACTGTACACACTGCACACAGCCTTGCCATTGCTAGGGGTTGCATGGCTCTGCATTTCCCTGTGTAGTGGAGGCATCGGAATCACATCTTCAACTGGCCAAATGCCGGCTTTATGACTATGCGTGTTTGGTTGTGGGCTTGGTTGTAGGCTGTGTGGTCCAGCAGGTCATCTTTGGGGTACGGCATCACCAAATAGAGCAACAGAGGATACCCATGATCACCTGGAGGGAATGGCATGTTAGGTGTCAGGGGTGCTGTCTGCTACTGAATACCCACCCTGGAGATCCAAGAGGCAGTTGTGGCTGGATACTGTGTAGATCTGGGCATCATGAATGCTGTCCGGGAACTTGGCCACGAGGTCCGTGAAGGTGCCCTGGTGGTCACAGGAGGCCTGAACATTAAGGATGTAGAATTGGTGGTAGTTACAGTAGACCTGCAGGTCCTCCTGGGAGGCTATGAGGGCTATGCGTGTACAGTCAGCCCCCAGTACCTTGGAGAACCACCGAATGAAGTGAATCCTCCTCTGATGCATGCGAGGTTGGCCTCCTCAGCGAGGAAGTGAACATGCTCCTGGAGGTGTGCCAGCATGGCATCCAGGAAACCATGTAGTCAGTGGCTAGCTGAGGACTGGGAGACCTCAAGCGCCTAAGTGACTACCTCCTGAAAGGATCTGGTGGCCAGGAACCTCAGGGATATCAGGATCTTCTGCAAGACTGGGATGGCACAGAGAGCAGGGGCTTGGCCCTGGAGGGCTTGCCCGAGCTCCTTGCAGGGGAGCTAGACGGTCGCTCTGTCTAGGCGAGACCAATCAAGGCAGGTTGGTGGTGAAGCATGTGAGCATTGCACTCGCCACCACCAGGAGCAGCTCAGCAACCTCCCGCTGCCGTGCCTTCTGACGCATAGCAGCAGGACAGGTGTCTGTGCTGGGATATGCTGTCCGGACAGAGATGCCTACTCTGAAGAGCTGGAGCGATTCCTTCAGGCCCGCTCGGAAGCGTCTCCAAGCCTTCATGGCCAAAGGTGCTCCCTATGAGCGTGCGGTGGGGGAGGGTCTGCCAAGGGCAGAGGCCGTCACGTGGTGGGGTGGCCATGGCATGGAGGTTTTGTGTGGTGAGTGCCATGGCCGCTGCAACCACCTGGCCCCAGCTGTGGGTCCTGATCCTGTTGCCCACCATCTTGCACCGACCCCACTTCCCTGACCTATGCCCCTCCACTCTGCATGTGATCTGCAGGGTGGGGATGCTGCTGCGGGCCTCTGAGAGCAGCAACAAGGGCCCAGTAGCAGCCAGAGCACCCCGGTGCCAACCCCCGCCCCCACAGAGGAGGGTGACTCCACCATTGCCATGCCCCCATATCCACAGCCAGGGCACACCCATGACATCCCCCAGGGCCTCTCGCCAAGGATCCTGCCCCCACATGCCTAGCAAGGAGGAGATGGAGCTGAGCAACGTGGAGGTGGACCAGAACAGCCAGGCTCCCCGGCTGGGAGGTGAGGCACCTCCAGGGGGGGAGTGGGTGTACAGCCTCAGTGGTCACCTGGGAGCTCCCCTTGACTGCTGCATTTCCCCCCTGTGCCCAGGTCCTGATTGACGTTTGCAGCTGATGTGGTGGAACAACTATGCACCCGAGCAGATGCATGGCAATGGCAGTCTCTGTGGTCTTGTGGACGCTTGGCATCCCAGAGTCCCTGGCACCTGGGGAGGAGGGCAGGGTCAGTGTCTTCGGATGACAGCTGCTGTGTCCCCGCAAACATGGGGGGGGGGGCAGCTGGGCTGTGGCAGCTGTACCTGGGCTAGATGTTGTAGATGCTGGTGGCCCAGAGGAAAGATACTGGCTGTTTACCACAAGGCCATGTCTGGCATAGCCCATCCCGCCCACCCTTTCCTCCATGTGGGCAGCCATCAAGAGGGAATGGCTGGAGAGCCATTGCAGGTGACAGGAAGCCTGTTTGAGGGGGCAGCTATGGATGGAGGGGCTGGCAGCCTCTGTGATGGTGGCTGCTGGACATCTGGAGGAGATTCTTGCCCTATCAGGGGATGCGGGTGAGGGATAGGGGTGCATCAAGAGGCTGCTGGGGGACCTGTCTGAGACTCTCCGGGGGCCCAGCACCCACTGCCCCTCCTCCTGCAGTGCTTCCGGGTGTGTGTGTGTGTTGAATGTGGGTTAGCATGGGAATACCCTCAGCATCGTGGACGCCTGTCCGGGTGCTGTGACCATAGGTGAGTGGAGGGTACCCACAAATCCACATTCTTGTCCCTCGTCACCTTAACCAAGAGGGTTTCCATATAAATGTGTGCATTGCCTCATAGTCCTGTGCCATTAGTAATGGGGAGCTCTCCGTGTTCAGGGATTGCTAGCACCTGGCCTAGCGGGTACTGGGCTAGCATATCTATAGGCCTGGTAAATTCTCTGGCTCCCACCTATTTGAGTGGCAACTATAGGATGACTCAAAGGCAAAAGAGAATGAAAAAATCGTTGGTTTCTCCTAATGGCATTTATGGTTCTGTGGCATAATACCTGTGAGAAGTTAGCTGGTAAATATTACACATGCTTCTTCATCTTAGGCCAGACACTGTCTATCAGCCTAGCCTACATTACAGGGTTGTTGTGAGGGTAAAATGGAAGAGGGGAGTACCATGGGGGAAAGGCAGGATAAAAATGAACTAGATAGATGGATGACTGTACACAAAGTCCACTGCACTGGGATCCTACAATTAATATTGGAGTTGCACAACAATCATCACATAGTTCACACATCACCACCTTCTGTAGACAGAGCCATGAATATTAGTGCAGGGTCTTGGGAGGCATTATGCTATACACTACCACCACCACCAACAGCGTGGGTAAAAACTGGGTAAGAGGATGGCCCTTGAAGATCTGCCATGATACCGCGCTGGGTGGGTACCACTGGACTGGCTGTGTACCAGCTACAGGACACTATCTACCTCCAATGAAAGATCTGGCATTTACCGTTGGAAAACCATCTGGTTCTTTATTGAGCACCTTATTTTTGTGATTCGATAATTTTATTCTGTTTTAAGCTTGTTTTATATGTGGGCATTGTTGCCCTCTTGTAAGTCGCCCTGAGCCCGCTCGCGGGGAGGGCGGGGTAAAAATACTAATATAAAAAAATAGAATCATAGCATTGGAAGGGACCTCCAGGGTCATCTAGTTCAACCCCCTGCACAAGGCAGGAAATTCACAAATTCCTCCCCCTCCACATCTGCAGTGACCACTGTTCCACGACCAGAAGATGACAGAAAACCTCCAGGATCCCCGGCCAAACCGGCCTGGAGAAAAGTTGCTTCCTAACCCCAAAGTGGCCATCAGCATTTCCCTGGGCATGTAAGAAAGGGCCACGAGAACTAAGCACTGAGGCAACCCTTCCTGCCCTCCCTCTCATGAGCTGCCTATATATATAACTCAGGGTTATAGATATATAACTCAAAGTTGCTATTCTGACATACCATACAGCTTCTAGCAAGCTTGAATACCACACACAACTTTTCTCAGTGCAATGTTAATATTGTACAACATGTATGAATGCGGTACCATATTGTTTGGGTCCTTTGGGGCATGTTTGTGTCATTCGTGCCGTTTCTATTTGCAGCCCTCAGGCAATTGCTTGCAGTAGGGATGTGCTGTACTCCCACACTGATTACTGATGCTTGCATATTGCATAACTGCGCAGCCCCCAGAGTACCTAT